ATTTTGAGCTATTTTAATCATTTAAATGTTAAAACGTTCAGCTCGATTAGGAATAGTGTGCCACAACTTTTAGTATTTGTATCTTGTATAATGTATCTTACAATACATTTATACCTCTTTAATTCTTTCAAAATAAAGCTCTCTTTCAAATCTATTTCAGCATATATACTTTATTTTTGTCTCCTTACGGTCCGTTTAGCTTTTAGCTATCATTTTGCTAATTTGAGGATTTAGCTGCTTTTTTAAATTGGAGGTTTTTGCTACAGTTTTGTAGTTTTAGCTTTTAGGTGATTTTAGTTCTGTTCATTCCAGTGTATTTTCACAAAATTAAAAATTCTCTAGTACATGCATATTTAGCCATCTACTAATCACATCTAATCATTACAGTAAACTAGATCTTTTATTAGTGATAAACTTCTTTTCTAATTTTTAGTCCCAGCTTGCTACATAAACAGAGCTGCTTCTCGAGCTGCTTTCATGTTTACATACTTTATTACTCAGCAGGTTATTGAGAATCAGGTGATTTATTCACACTGAACAAATGCTGGAAAGTATCATCTGTTGTTAAAACATAAACTTAGAATAATCTAAACAACAAATCTGAGAACTAATTCAGATTATGATGCTGCCGTCYGGTCCGCTAAGAGCTGACAGTTTAACAGTAATATTAAATTACCAGTCTGCATCATCCTTTAGTAAAATGTTCAGTGGACTGGGAGTAGGTAAGAATTCCCTATTAGCTTGTTAATTATCTACCTGTTCAAACACACACAAACTCCTCCTCGCGTATTGGCGTATTCCCAAATGCATGTTTGGACAAACTAAGTGGTTGATGGTGTTGTTTTTGTTTGTGCTTCGCAAATGAACACAATAACATCCTGCTGATAGTACAAGTGGGCTGAATGTGTGCAGCTGCCCACCATATTGCACCCATCCACCTCTTTTTAAACGGGAGTCCAGGTTATCTGATGTAATAACGCCTGCGATACATGTCTGGACTCACAAAAAGGCTTTATGGACAGAGACATGTTTGTATTTTTATTATAATCTTCAAAACATTTAATCTTTCCTGAGAAGATTATATAAACTCTGCATTTGTACACATCTGTGCACTGCCAGGCGTGTATGTCTTTGTTTCGATTTAGGTCTAAACTTTTGATCTTTGGTTTTGGTTTATGTAGTTTTTCCATTCTGCATGCGTCTCTTCTTAAGGCTTCCTTTTGCGTCCTTGCTCATCACACAGGAAGCAATGTGCACACATGCAAGTATTTCATCTTAAAATCAGTAAAAGTGTGAGGCTACAGCAATATAAGAGTCAGTCTTGAGTGTGAGCCTACGCTCACACTGCACATATAGATTTGAATTGTTAAACCACAAAATGACAGGAAACGTCCTCCCCCTCAGCTGGAAAGGTTTGTCTCTTCTCTTCTTACCTGTTAGGTGAATTTTTCTACCTTGCAGCAGCGTCTAGAAATGGAAATATTTAGAAACTTATAGATGGAGAGACAGCTGGTAACCACTAAAAATTAAAAAGTGATTAATTCATTTATTTTTTCCCTGCTGATCTGTTGCTTTGAGTTTCAAAAGGTTTGTGCAAGACAATAAAACCTTTAAAYTTTAACGCTAAGTTTTTATACCATATTTTTATGTAGTTGCAAATAATAAATGAATGCACATCACCCAACTTTTTCATACCACAGTTAAAAACTAGACACCGCATAGTGGTAACATAATGACCCTCGCACGCACAAATGCACCGGAACTCAGAAGTCTTTATTCCTAATAAATGTCACGTGCATCCCACTGCACTGCACTGATTGGTGGGCCTGATGGATAGAGCTTCATCAGAGCTAAACAACAAAAGAAATCTGAAGCTCCTATGTTTAATAGTTTTTGATTTATAAGCATTTTTGCATGTSCAGACACCCCCACTTTGAAAGGAGCCCCCTCCTCAAATATGGGGTCTATCTTAAAACCATTGGCTGGCGCAGTGTAGGTCAGACTCATCTACAGTCCTGCCAAATTTCATGTTGATTGGTGCAACCCTTTTTGTGCTATGGTTGACCAAAAATCACTGGAAAAAAAAAAACAGTACGAAAACAATATGGCTCCCGCACGGGTCAGAATAAAGATCATCTAATGCAGAGAAATGACAAAGTTTTGTTTAAATATTGTAAATGACATTACCTCATTCAGCTTTGTTCAATCTAGCAATCTAGCATTTTGCTAACAGACAGAGTCGACTCCAACARTTAATTGCACGCAATCAATTAGCATCAAATAATTCCACAGTAATTAGTAGATTACAATAATAATGACATATGTCTATGAGTACATAACCTAAACTTAGCTCTCAATAAAATAGAAATATTTTATTTGTTGTTTTTAGGAGAAATGGCATAATTCACATGATGTCATTGTTGGGATGTTTGTTTCTGTTTTTAGTGTGTTTTAATGTCAGGTTGTCCCAATCCTCTCCAGGTGGTACCACGGGCATCTCTCAGGTAAAGACGCAGAAAAACTGCTGACAGAAAAAGGCAAAGCTGGCAGCTTTCTGGTACGAGAGAGCCAGAGCCAGCCGGGAGACTTCGTCCTCTCGGTTCTCACAAACGAAGAGAAACATGAAAACGTGGACCGCAAGACCAAGGTCACCCACGTTATGATTCGCTGCCAGGTGAGGTAACTCTGTGCAGGTCACTTAAAATCCACAGATTTATAATTTTCTTCGCTCAAACTTTCTCTTATGGGCACGACACACGGGAGGCGACGTCACTCTCTCTCTGTTTTCCTTTCCTGTGGAACCTATGTGATGAAGCAACAGTCGCTCGCCCTCCTCCAGCCAAGCGACCGGCGAAACTTGTTCATGTGAAATTTCGTGTTCGTGCACATGCGAGCTTGCGATGCGACATATGAAAGTTGAAAAAAAGGGGTTTTTTTGTCGCTGTCGCATGACACTACATCAGCAAGGGTTTCATTGACCGACCAATGAGCGGAGAGTATGTTACGCACTGCAGTTAGCTAACACTTTCAACATTACTTTAGCTCTCTGACAAATTTCCAATTTTATATGACCCTTCACAAAATGATTACTAAAGAACACTGCCACACTAAGGTTTTAGACGCAAGTTATTTAGACAACACATAACCCCAGTCCTGGCTTCTCTCCATTGGCTTCCTGTTCACCTGAGAATTGATTTTAAAATTATTGTTGGCTTTTAAAGTTTTTAGTGGTCTGGCCCCATTATATTTATGTGATCTTCTTAACATCTACACTCCAGTCAGAGCACTCAGGTCTACCAACCAGTTTCTGTTAGATGTTCCTAGATCCAAACTGAAATCTAGAGGTGAACAGGCTTTTGTAATAACTGCTCCAAAACTGTGGAACAGTCTACCTCTTAATATTCGGTCAGTAGAGACTGTTGAGGCTTTTAAATCTTTACTGAGGACCCATCTCTTTTCTTTGGCCTTTGATTAAGACTGAGTTGGGGGTTCAGTTAGAGCTTTTTTATATATTATGGTGTCTTTCTGTTTGCGTTTGTATGTATTTGTTTGTTTTTTGATACAAGTCTTAACTGAACTGTAAAGCACTTTGGTCAGCTTTTGTTGTTTTAATGTGCTATATAAATACATTTGACAGTGACATAGACAACTTATGCCAACTTGTGAAAGGTTTAGAGACATCTATGTTGAAGATGGAATTAAAAAAATCAACTGGAATCTTCTTTTAGGCATGTACATGCTGTAATGCTAACAAATTGATCAAATATCTAACTTTTAATAGTCATTTAGTGGGAAAAAAACATTTCATAAGTTGGCGTAAGTTGTCTAAAATGTCAGTGTGACAGGGCCCTAAGATTAAAGATCAACCGATACAGGTTTTTAAAGGCCGATACCGATTTTTTTAACATCAGTCTAACCGATACGCCGATACGTGCAGCCGATTTTTT